TCCATATCTCCTCCACACATCTCAGTTTTTCACACTCTCCTCTACTAATCCCATCTATCAGGCATAAGAGCTGCGACCTATTATAATTATGTGACCCGTGGGAGGTAGCCATTTCAATAGGATGGAGCTGTAGGCATACAGTCAGTTCACAAGGGGTTAATGTTCATACAAAATAAGATTAAACATGTAACGGTAGCACCTAAAAACAATTAAAAGCTTTACTTTATTAAATACGTTTAAAACTATAAAATTGTATGATTGTACGTGGGAGACAGGATAAGCAATGTGGGGAACCTGTGAAAAATAATCAACGTTTGACACATGTTAAAAGAGATGGCAACTCACACTGAACACTAACTGGGCAAAACAATATAAAAAGGAAAATCTTCAGTGCTGTCTCCACTCAAGCTCACCACAGTGCATGCAAAAGCAGCCAGAAAAAAAACACAGTTTCCACGCAGCGCCTTCACTGTCTGCAACGATATAAACAAGTAATCCACTCTAAAATACAATCAATCCCTGCATTGGTGCCTACTGATACAGTGAAATAAAACAAACACACAGAACACCGACAGCCGCAGCCGTCACAATAATCTTCAGCTCTTCGCTGTTGAGTTACACCAGTCTAAACACATTAAAATAAACACTGGTGCATCAGGACCTCGGCCCTGCAGCCAGAAATCCACCCAGGCAAAGCAGCAGCTTGGCACTCTGTAAATGAAAACAGGACATCACTTACACTGAACAGTCGACCGCAGCAGGAATATCCCTCCCGCCTGGCTTCATATGTATTGTTCAGTTACCTGTTCACAAGTTCGAGTCACACCCTCGTATCGGCAGGTGGTGGCGGAGTCCACTACATGTTTCTCCGCAGGAATAAAACAATGTTTTCCTCCTACAATGGCACATATAACTTTAACCTTCCGCCAAATCACCAAAATGCAAGCAGGTAGGGTGACCTACCGCTCCAACCGAAGGCTATGGGACCCACATCAAGCTGTCATAAACAGTTAAAAGTGGCAAATAGCACAGCTTGGAACAGGCACTCACACAGCTCCAGGTTCACTCACCTGTGCTTATAAAAGGGAAAAACCCAGCTCCGCCTTCCAGGAGAGGTTCCCAGTCTCAGGTCTCACCTGTCACATTTAGTATCATTAGCATCACTGAACTATCAATCAACCTTACACATCCATTACTATTATGGATATTTCTTCATGTATTTTCATTGTCAGTAAGTCAACGTAACAAAAAATGAAATATTCCCAGACTGTCTTGATTGCTTCTAAAAACAGTTTACAGATGCGAAGGATGCAGGATGGATTCTCCACATAATTCTTAATGATGGGATGTTTTTTTTCTTGCTCTCAAATGCCTAACCCAATGCAGTGCTTTCATCTAGGTCCGGAGAGGAGAAAAAAACAGTCATGAGAGAACTGGGGTCAACATCAGCAGCATCGTGGTATTCATTCTCCATTCTTTTAGGCAATAATATTATGTAATGGAAGAGAACAAGGCAGTGTCATGACAATTGGTTCCTGCAGCAATAATAAAGAGTAGGGATGGTTAGCCAGTTTGCTAGCTAACTACACAGCATACATGTGAAACTGAATTCTATATCATGTCCAAATCAACATCAGTCATTCTGTGGTAGAGGGCGTGTCTAAGCACTGTTTAGGCTTTTGTTAGTTCACATACAACACTGAAGAATGAACAACAGATTGCTCAAAGCCGTGTATTTAACGGCCACGGGTGTCAGCAGTGGTTTGGGATCATTTATGCTGAGCAATTAAAAAAAAAAAAACGTATGAAATGCCAAGTAGGTGCTGCACATTGAGACCAACTTGAAATCTGATATATGTGAAAAAGTGTTTGCCCACTTCCTGAATTCTTTGTTTAATGATCTGAAACACATAAGTGTGATAAACATGCAAAAAACAAACTTTAATATTAGAGAAAGACAATGCAAGTAAATACAAAATGCAGTTTTTGAACAATGATTTCATTTCTTAAGAGAAAAACACTATTGTAATCTGGCACTCTGCTGAAACTATAATTGCCCCCTTAATAAATCATGTATTAACTGTGATTAACAACAGTTTTTGGATAACTGAGTTCAATTTTACTACCCACATCCATGGCTAATTACTGTCATATCTGTTAAATCATGACACCACTTCAATAGTACCTGTCTGACAACGTGAATTTGGTTGCAACATCAACATATCATGCCACAATGTAGAGAAAAGTCATTGATATCTATCACTCTGGAATAGGGATGGGTACCAATATCCACAAAAACGGTAGTAACCAGACCGAAAAGCAGCGCACATTTCGGTGCTTTTTTTTCCTGAGATGTCATACACTTTGGATTCCAGCCAATCATTTTACCTTTCCGAGGATAGTAGGCGGGCCCAGGTACGTACGTTCTTTTAGAGCAGAGCTACAGATTAAAAATGCCCAAGGCGAAGTGGTCAAAGTCTGGCTGTACTTCACAGCAAAAGATGCAAACTCAGCAGCAACAAGTGCTTTAAGCTGATACTGTGATACTGTCAAAGGAGGTAACACCTCGACTCTGATGAAACACCTGGCGACGCATAGAGTTTTTGTAAAAGCCAAGAAATGCACCGTATTTGATAGCTTGCTGCGAGACCTCACACCG